CCTGTCAAACCTACAGTAGTGGGAAAGTTTTGCACTAAACTATTATCTTTCCGACTGTCCATAATAGAGACAGTTGTTTCAAAATCAGAAATAGGAGCAATGTAAATCGTTCTTATATTCACGTATCTATCTTTCACTTTGGAATTACGTTTGCATATTTCATTCGTGCATTTAGACTTCTTATCGTTTCATGGGGAGCTACTTCCTGAGAGAACATGAAAAGCAATTAATATATCGCCATCGAATAGTGTTTTCACTAAAACCTTGAAATCTTAGAATTTTGCCAGCAGAAACCGAGTTTGTGCTTGATATAACACTTGTCAATTATAAATTATAAGTTGTAGAATTTGCAGTGAGAAGAGCTATCATACATCATAACTCCTCTTCAATTCAACCGATCGGGACCGGGCTGGTCTCATTGGCTTTCATGTCTAAGGTAGTATATATGCTAGAATTTCACACCTCTAGTCTTAAGAACAGTTGAGGTGACAGGGGATACTTTTGGCTAGTACTGTATTTCTTCATTGAACTCAATAGTGCTAGTTCAAATCTATTGATCTGTATCTATTGACAGTTTCTCTCATGAATAAAAGCTCTGATGAGTCCTCTATCATTGAGAAAAAAATCGGCCTGATTGATTAAGGCAGAGTGGAGATAATCTGTTTTCATATCATGATTTTTGGAACACCCTGTATAATGAAATATAGGATGAAGCAAAATTCTGCTAGGAAAGCAGAATTCTGTCTAAATTCTGCTGCCATAAGCAGAATTCTTAATAGCGTTATTATTATTTTACTAGCTTATAAAGGCCATCATGTTGGTATGACGAGAATATGGATTTAGGTAATGATAAATATATGTGCAATACAGAATTCTTGAATTCTGCCGTCCTTCACAAGAGATACCTGAAGAAACAAGGCATACATTAATGAAATCAGATATAGAGTCAGAGCACACGACATATCGATTAGGGTCTACACATATAATAAAAGTTCATATAGCGATTAAGGTTTAGATAGAGAGAAAACGGTTTGTAGATATAAATAATGGGTTACAGATTGGAATAAGGGTTACGGATCGGAATAAGGGGTTCTATATTGAATAAAAAGGTTAAATATAGGAGTAAGAAGTTGGATATAGAAATAATGGGTCAGACACGGATAATGAATTAACGGTAGCGATTGAGGAATGTCCACAAACTATGGAAAAATCATGACTTTCACTACATTTTTGCTATATTTATGCTTCTCACGCTCTAAAATTTATGATTTCTATTACAATACATAGAATATCATAACAATTTGTTGCCTTAAATACAATGCTCATGATAGTGGAACCATAAGTGTGGAGGGGATATCAGACATGGTGATTATTTTTAGTTGGACATTACTATAGAGTTTAGGACTCACATACAGAGTTATGTGTTGGATACAAGAACAAGGGTTTAAGAATAGAAGACATAGAAATAAGATGTTTCGCATAGAAACAAGAAGCTACATATAGAATTAAGAGATTCAGGATAGAAATAGAAATAATGGGTTGGAGTGAGAATTAATCAGCATTATGTGACTATGTGTATTGGATGAGTTACTTTTGACTAGAGTGAAGCCTTTTTTGGAAGAAGAAAACGACAGTTTGAGATAGAACCATATTTTGCTAGAGCCTTAAAAGGTTCAGAAAATGTTACCTAAATCTAGAACCTTGAAAGATTCTGCGTGAAACATATTTTTTTAGAGAGTAGATCTTGATGAAATGTGTTTTTATTCGTGAGAGCGACCTATCTAATAAACGATCGTGTGAGTATGGGGTCGGATATGCGAGTGAATGGATGTGTGTGCGAGATATGCAGGTGGGTGTAGGTCTCGGTTGTGGCTTATGAGTGGATGCCTGCATTTACGTGGGTATATGTCACTGTGTGTCAGTGGGTGTGAGTTGGTGTAGGTATATGCAACTGTGTACACTGTAAAAAAGGGGTTTGGAATTTGTACCCAAAATCAGAACCTTATTTTGGTTCCGTACACTGTGCGAAACCTTTTTTTGGTTTCGTACGGCACCTAGTTTTTTACAGTGTATGGATTTACTATAGATGTGCAGTTTGCTCGAAAAAATTGAATGACCCCGTGCCATTTTTCAAGGATATTTTCACATCAGTAGACGCAGTTTTTCACGGGCTTTCTGCTGGTGTAATAAAATATCTGGGAGCCGTCCAATTTTAAGAGACTTTGTTCAAATTATTGGAAAACAAGCTGAAAAAATAAAGAAATTTTTGGTAAAATAATTAGTGCATTGATGCTAATAAGCTGTTTGAGAGACAAGATATATATAATCTGATAGAGCGAAAGACCCTCTATCTTTTGGTAATAGACAGGGCTTTGTCAACATTCAAAGCATCAGAGAAAATTGACAAAAACAAAAAATTGATTTTTTTGCTGATTTGATCACATGTATTATCGATGTATGGGCCATAAGTCCTTAACATGTTGTCCAAGAAGGCTAATATTTTGAATTCAATCCTGCCAGGATGAGTGTTTTCTTTTAAGGGGGGGTCTCCCCATTTAGACTTCCTCTAACGTAGCCAGTTTGTAGAGGATACTTTGAATTATATGTCCTGAAGGTTTTTCGGCTTGCTGACATTATTTGGCTGAGAAAAAAAATAATGACTTAAAAAAATACTATTTAATTTTTGAACAAGGATCTATTATTAAAAAATTTCCTGTTCGTTCTCCATTTATCATAAAAACTTGGTTCTTGCTTAGATCGATAGAGAAATGTGTGGAGAACACTTACTACGAGAAAATATGCAAAAAGTTTTGTTCTTTCGTTCCTGTTATTAACTAATTACTGCTAATTAACTTTAATTTAGCCTATTCTACTAGCTTAAGGTCTCATTTGTAAAATAACCACTCAACAAAAGGATTCAAGCAATGTCTCATTTAATAGAGAATTTCACGGGCTACAATATGGGTTATCTTAAAAATTTTAGAATTTATTTTTGGCCGCTCGGTAGATCTGGTATTCGAAAATTTAACAACACCTTTTTAAATAATTAATTTCCGGAATTCGATTCTGAACAACTTTTGTACCCAAAGTTTTGCTTCAAAATGCTTGCTTCGAGCGAAACTAGCCGTAAGGCTTTTTTCAAAATACTTTTAGCTCTAAAAGTTCCTCGGGAAGGTGAAACTTAAATTTCTCCGTCGAACTTCATTTGGGAACGATGTAAAGTTTTTCTCCTTATACAAGTTAATGTTCTCTACCAACCTACGCCAGAATCAACTCTTCATATCAAAAGCTGAAGTTTTTATTAAAATTTTAACAAAAGGGCAAAAAACCTGAAAAAAACTTCAAAATCTTCTTTATGAAAAACTACGAATGCGAGAACTGGACGCTTTGTTGAGACCTATACTCCGAAGTGTCCTCTACAAACTGGTGAAAAAAACGGGAGGGGGAGCCCCCATTAATGCATTATTCGACCGTGCATCTTGTAGAGAAATATTCTCTCTTTCATCCTATGTATTTGAATGCATACTACTATCCTTTATCGCCGAAATTTTTTTATAGAAAAAGTCCGGGTGCAGGTCTGGATCCGATCGGATCCGCAGAATGCGGAATTCTGTTTGTATAACAAAATTCTGCTTGTATATCAGAATTCTATGCAGAGCTTTGATTTTCATACACGAATAAGTATTTATATATCATGAAGCAAACTTCTGCCGGGGAAGCAGAATTTTGATTTCGATGGTAAAGATAAGCGTATATAGAGAAGGAAACAAACGTATCGAAGTAATGGAACCAAACAGCAAAATTATTGAATTCTACTTGTGAGAATTCTGACACTGCTGATCTCTTGTACAATGTGTATGTGTTTATTGGACTGCCTGCTTGTGTCTACTTATATCTGTGTTTATCCTAGTAAAGCGATGCGGAAGAACCTATGTTTATTTCTCTCTCATTTGTCTAGTCGTCTCTTTCTGTGTTAAAATGGAAATGAACAACTATTGTATTATCTAAAGAAATCTGAATGAGACTAAAGCCAAGTGACGCGAAAAGAAGTATGCTGTAATAGTCAGAAGCTGCTCGATGAACAAGCTTTCTATCATTCGAAAATGGTTTAGGAGGCTTTTTATGCCAGTTTGGGCGCACAATCAACGTTGTCATAGCTAGAGCAAACTCTTCATTGAAGTGATTCATGAAATCCTGACATAGAAATATGTTTATCAAGCACAAACGCGGTTTCTGCTGGCAAAATTCTAAGATTTCAAGGTTTTAGTGAAAACACTATTCGATGGTGATATATTAATTGCTTTTCATGTTCTCTCAGGAAGTAGCTCCCCATGAACCGATAAGAAGTCTAAATGCACGAATGAAATATGCAAACGTAATTCCAAAGTGAAAGATAGATACGTGAATATAAGAACGATTTACATTGCTCCTATTTCTGATTTTGAAACAACTGTCTCTATTATGGACAGTCGGAAAGATAATAGTTTAGTGCAAAACTTTCCCACTACTGTAGGTTTGACAGGTTCACTAAGATGCTTTTTCTGCTGCAAAATCTGGAGAGGTTCTTATACACAGCCTATGAGATTAAGAAACTTTAGTGAGGTTTCATGTATATGTAACATAGTCTAAAGGTGTAGTAAAGGTGAAGTCTCATAGGACTCAGTTGGCACTTTTATCACTGTAGTTCAAGCAACTTCCGCTAGGACCATGTTTATAAAAAACGAGTTCAGCCTAAAAAAATGGTGCCAGATAGAACTATACTATACAATTCGAACCTTTTTTCACTTGAAAGGGTTCCTTAAATTAGCTAAAACCGTTGATGGTTTAGTGCTATCAAATGAAACCTTAAAAAGTTCAGCATTTTTGCTAGAACTCTCATTTGGTTCCTTATAACACCTTTCTTTTTAAAAAAGTGCTCTCAACATCTGTTATGCATTTGAATCGATATTGAATTTTTGTACTCGACGATTTCCGTTATCAACGACATAGAGATTGCCGTGTCAATCGAATGACAAACCGGTGGGTCTATTGAGCTGGTTCGATTGCCCTCCTCCACCGTTTCCACCAACAATGACACTTCCCTTTGTGGCTCCTCTGGGCCAACGCATTATTCGATGATTCCCTCGATCAGTCACATAGACAGTGCCCAATTGATCGACAACGACTCCTTCAGGATATGACAATTGTGTAAGACCATTTCCTTCTCCTTGATCACCAGCCGCGACAGTGCCTTGTTTTGCACCTTCCACCCATTTCATCACACGATCATTTCCCCAATCAGACACGTATAC